TAAAAATGGATGATTTCACAGTCAGTAGAGATAGGAGGGAAAGTGCAAGGGTGTGTATTGAGATAGATTTATCCATCCCCCCTCCCTCCAAAATTCACATCAGACTTGGTGCTCGGGACATATTTACCAATTGTGGGTATGAAGATAGACCTCTGTACTGCACCCTCTGCAAAAAGCTTGGTCACAAGCATGATTTTCATGCTCTAAACCAACACCATCTACCCACCGGAAAAGCTCCCTCCGGCAAGGGTAAGACGGGCATATCTCCTGAGTATCAGAATGGATGGGTGGAAATCAAGAGCAAAAAGACAATTGGAAACAGGGAACCCAATCAATCTGAGCACAAGAATAATACAGTCAGACAGGGCCCCCCCATCTTTGAATGGAAAAAGAAAGGATATGTGAACCAAAACACCAAAAATTTCATGTTGCTGGACCTACTGGATAATTATGCTGGAGAATTACCATGTAATGTGGAGAGTGAATTATTGGGTGACAAGGTTAATCTAAATCCCTCCGACTCCCCTCTGCAAGAGTTTAACCCAATTTTTCCATCCCTCTCTGAAGCAAAAGCCTTTGCTTCCAAAAAAAATGCCTGTTACTTCCAAAACTACAGTTAGTACTGGAATGGCAAAAGATCAGCCAAGGAAAGGTTCCTTTGATGACTGTCTTCATAATCACTCACCTGAGAAGGGACTTGCCATGCTTATTGAGGAAATCCATGATACCAATATGCAAGAGATGGTGCCAGATACCAGAGATTATGGATACCATACTGAGGGTGGAAAAAGTAGTGATATTCTTGATCAATCTGCATTAACTCCCAGGGCCTTCCAAATACCTGCATCCAACTCAATATCAATAGCAGTTCCAAAAAAAAAACACATCCAAGAGGTTAGGCCCTTCTACAAGTATGATCACCAGAAGCCACAAAGGGCATAAAGACTTCATATTTCATAGCCTTAAATGATTTTGCTATTTTGGAACGTATGCGGAGTTAGGTCCTCTCTCAAAAGGATCAAGGTGCTGAATAAAAATCATAGCTTCTGTTTCCTTGC